CATCAAGATAAGGTTTGCTAGATAATCCAACGCGACAGTAATAAGTTATCGCACATGGCGGAGATGAAATTGGATCCGTTCAGTGAGCCCGCTCCAGTTCGCGCGGATCTCAGAGTCGCGGCGCGCCGACCGCAGTCCCACGACACTGCCCGAAGGATTCCAGCCGACCGAGTGTGAGTGAACAGATAGCTTTTTTAACATGTCTCAATTGGAATGGAGGCCAGTGATCAGTATGTTTATAAAAGACGTACCTTTTTACGAGTTAGAACCACGCTACAGCTACAATACGGCCGACGTATCTTGGCGAGTCTGAATATAGGCTCTGCGAAGTTTAGCGCATGAACACTCGTGAAGAAAACTGTTATTGTCATTTTTTTATATATACCAATGTACAAATAAAATTTCCCTAATACAGTGACCAAAAATATCAAAACACTTTGGAGACATTATAAATTAAAGATTCAATTTTGATACCTCACCTTTCGATAGGGGCAGATTTTATCACAAACACATACAATATTATTTACATTTAATACTTTTTATTTATTTACACTTATTATTATTTAATCACTGTCGCTGAGGGGGGAAATTCCTAACATAAAGTCGTCGGCCCCTTGTGTACCATGTGAGGTACTTGGCATAGGTTCATCTTCGTAATCGTCGCTCTCACTTTCAGACTCACTTTCTGAATCTGAAGCTGTATTAATGATGAATAATTGATCCGTCATTTCGTCAATAATATGGTCGCTCTTCCTATAGTCATGTTCGACCTCTTGCACTTTTCTGCATAAAGCACTCCATTCATTCTGACCCATTAAATTTACTTTTTCTTGTATGAGCTCCATTGTCCGGGTTACGTTCCAGTCGACGTTTTTAGCGGCTACGTGCCCTTTAATGGCAGCCCACACCATCTCGATGGGGTTTAAATCGGGATGATATGGGGGTAAACGAAGGACATCGTGGTTGTTTTGTTTAAACATTTCATCTATTACGTATTTTTTATTCACGTCTTTGTTTTTTTTTATTAGATCGTAAAGTTGTGGTTTACGCATGTCCTTTTCATATGGTATACCCTTTTCTAATAACCACGATTCCATTTTTGCCTTCTTGTCATTAGATGTAGGGGCAGGATCCATTAATTTGTTGTGGTACGGAGCATTATCGATAACCACCACCGAGTTAGGGCTCAAATTTGGAATCAGTTGGGTCCGTAACCATTTCTCATAATTTTTGAAATTCATGTCATCATGATAGTCTCCGGTTTTGCTGCCAGATTTGAACATTAGTAGCGCGTTCGGAACAAACCCTGCTTCTGACCCAGCGTGTACCATCACTATCCGCTGACCTTTTGATATCGGGCGCTTTAGTCCTTGAGCGGAACCATCTGACCACGCCTTACCTTTTGTATGTGATGAGTGGGCATACGACTCGTCAGTGAATACAATTGGTCGCCCTTCGTCCCTGTATTTTTTCATTGCCTTCAAGTACAAGATCCTTTTCAGGCGAATGTCGGTCTTCTCTATAAGAACCATTCTATTGGTTGCGGTCTTTCGCCACTTGAAACCCAAGTTTTTGATAATTGTCTTTAAGCTCGTTTTACCACCTTGAAAATTTATATTCCGTTTGAGTTTCGCTAGTAATTTGTTTATCGTCGGCATTTCTTTTTCAGTTTTGTGGAAGTTGTGTATGCATCTTTTTACTACTCCCTGGTCAAAATTATCCATATCAGTAATAGGTTTTGATCTAGACCTTTTTTTACCAGGCGTGCGGAATACTGAAAGTAAGCCCGAAATATTGCCTTCAGTTGCGATCCGCTGTACTGTGCGTTGGGACACACCAGTTGCGTTAGCAACTCTTAAATAAACTTTATCGACATCTTTTACGCCTTCTTCTTTTTCTTTTTTCATATATTGCGTTAAATCGTAAATAATTTTTCTCGCCTGGCGATTTAACACACTGTTATGTTTTGGTGGCATGTTTGGCGAATAATATAAGTGCTAACTGACACTTGCAAATAAAACAAATAAAACAAACAAAACAAACTTAACACTATTAATAAAAACAAACAACAATAACAACGAAAACTTTTGTAACCGACTGTGCTCAAGACAGAGATAGCGACACGAACACGACACCAATGCTAACGTGTGACTGAGAAATATTACCGTGTACCGAGCATTGCCGAATAAGCACGAAGCTTTACGAAGTAACCAGAAAGGGATGTCCAACACGCGTGCCTGAGGGTGTTGTTTAATCGATTTTTATTCAAATCGATTAAAATTAAGACATAAAAATATATTTATTTGCAATTTATAAGGAGGTTCTAAATTTTCTCAAATAGTCGTTACTCAAGAAGACGTTAATAGATAATTGATATTTAAGTACATTATGTCTTTCAGCTGAGAAAATAATATGTTTTTAGTTTTTTTTTTTTATTTAAGTCGAAATCTTGTTTATTATCAACAAAATTCACTATATTTGTAAATCTATTTCGTTTAATATCTTATATAAACAAAAATCAATAACTTCTAAATAAAACTAATCGATTGCGATATTTTATGACTAAAGGGTCGATTGTGTTTACTTATGGTCAATCTCTAGCCTAGACCACCGCCCCCCGTACGTCGCCTCATGCCACCATTTTGTTCCTTAAAAAAGCTATTGCGCAACCTTCTGCGCGAAGGTCGGACTCGCCAAGATACGTCGGCCGTATTATATGTTCTAGTTATAGCACGAATGGGTCGGCTCGACCGGGGCAGGTACACGCTCTCACAGAATACCAACGTAAAATAGCAGCGTAATGCTGCTGTGTTTCGTGTGGTGAGTGTAGAGGTCGAGGCATTCCATCTTAGTCCTCAGGGGTGACAACGCATCTTCGTCTACATTCTAAATCGAGGATAAATTTAGATGTCTATGGGCCACAGCATCCATTTGCCATCAGGTTCTCTGTGTACTCGTTTGTCACCATTATTCTATAAAAAAAACCTTATTAGGGTATTTGGTAAACAAAATCAAGATAATGTTCATTACAACGTATTTTTATCTAATTGATAGAATCAGGCGTTACTTTGCGGAAATCCATTATAATAAAAAAAATTATAATAAAAGAAATTATAATAAAAAAAATTATATTCTTATTTTGTATTTTTATCTTTTAAATATAGATGTTGCCTATAATATATCAGAATATTGTAGCACTTTCCTGCATACATTGTATTTTCCGGACCAATACAACATACCTGACCTTCAAGAAAAGAGCCTATTAATATTCAAAAAGCCGGCAACGCACCTGCAATTTCCTTGCTGTTGCAGTCGTTCATGGGACGCAGTAGTCACATACCATCAGATGAGCCGCATGCTCGTTTGCCCCCTCTTCAATAAAAACATTCAACTTTGGTAGACTACTATTAATTATTACTACTGTTCTTGTTGTTTTTGATAAAGATTTTAATTGAATATATTTGCTTTAATTGCATGAAGCACCAAACCTCACTTGCCTGCGGACAATCCTGCCGATTCACGGACAACTTATTGTCGATTCATTAAAGGTAAAATATAAAAAAAATTATTCATAAACGTTGATTCCAAATTTACAGAATGGTGACGGTAAGCAGCGTTACAGTCTGCGCTCAACAATCCAAAGTTCAAGTACTCCAAGTACCTATTTATTTGCTCACTAAGTGTACAACTAATTGCAAATGGTAATTATCACTAAGTTTTAAGTAAATCATGATCATAGTAGCCTTATGTATATAGAAAGAAAAAAAGACATAAGTATAGAAGGCCTATCCTCAGCAGTGAACTGAAGAAGGCAAATGACGATGTTTTTGTTGACTATAAATTAAAAGTAGCAATAATGTACGTAAAACTAACGTAATTAAAACACGTACAAGGTAACAAAATAGTAATAGTGCAAACGATAGAATAAAGTGGTAACTTAAAGTTTTATGCGGTAGAGCCATGCTGTTTGTACATTATACGAGTAGTTGTGGCAGGAATGGGTTGGATAGACCGGGGATAGACCAAGCTCTCACAGAATACCAGCTCAATGTTGCTGTGTTTCGCATTTTGAGTGTGGAGAACCGGAGACCCTTTTTAGTGGAATCGAGGCATTCCTTCTGGTCCTCAGGAGTGACAACTATTAAAGATGTAGATGTCTATGACTCCATTCATCCACTTACCAATACAAAAAAATTGGTTGAACCTGCAGGCCATCTCTTGATCTTCCTGCTAATTTCAAATGCAAAGCGCTTCAAATTTCACCAAATTATGTTGCGAAATCTCGAAATTATGTAAAAAAAAAACGTTTTTTTTCGAATTCCTTCTCCTTCGATATCTCACGAACGAATTAACCGATTTTTTTTCCAAACGGCATTCGAAGTCATTTTTTGAGGTTAAGAGCTGATTAGTTTTCGAAATCGATCGGTAAAGCTGTTTAAAAGTTATAACAAAAAAACAGTTCCTCAATTTTTTTTATTTTTGAGTTTTCTCAAAATCTACTCGTCCCAATGAGTTCATATTATCACCAAATCTATTCCACATTGAGATGATTAGAACGCCGCAAACCTCATCTCAATCGATCAAGACGTTCAAAAGTTATGAAAGGTTTAACATATATACACACACATACCCACACGTGTACATACATACATCCGTACGGACGTCCACGTGAAATTAGTTAGAATAGCTTCCTGGGATCTCAAAACGTCGAGATCTGATGAAAGCTCGATTTTCGAAAATCGTGGTGAAACCAATAAGTTCCCTATTTTTGAAAATTTTCCATTTTCTTAGCGGAAGTTAAAAATCTATAATGTTCATTCGATATTAAAGCGGAAGCAAAACTTGTGAAGAAATATAAATTATCATCTAAATTTTGACGGTCTCCAAAAATTATCCGATGTGATTTGCGGATGGCATTAATTAAAAAGTAGTAGTAATTACCAGTAATTTAAAATTAATATATTGTACAATTTTTCGAGCATTGTTCAATTATAACTTACCCTATGACTCCTCGAGGCTTTGGGGTCGAGGTACGTCCGCAGCTTGTTGAGGTAGTGCGCCGGCGAGTCCTTCGCTTGCACCATGTCTTGATCGCAGATGATCTCCCACTTCTTCTCCAGGTCATAGTTGCGTAGTAATTTCGCTTTGTCGGGAGGAAGGTCCATAGACGCCTGTAAAAGGAAAAAATGATTTATTACTATAAAGAATCATTATCATTATAATTTTTATTAAGTTCATATTTGTCATCAAATCATATTATATATGCAGGGTATTATTATTCCGTTGGTGACGTACAAGGTGTTAGAGGAAAATGAAACGGGATATGGGTAGCAAGCATCTTCCTATAAATATAACAATTCAGCATTCATAATAATCAATGGAATCAGGCGTCACTTTGCGGAAATCCATTATATTAAAGTTGGTACAATTACCTTGCCTATATCCGCTTAATAAAATAAAATGATGTGTCTTACCTGGTTTGAAGAGTACCTCCGGCTCTCCCTCAATTGCGTGCACTATCCCCGTCACCACTATTCGAAGCAGCACTACTCCCTACATCACTACACTAGGAAATACAGACCACCGTCGACCATGCGACGTGTTTCACCTTTACACGAGGCATCCTAAGGTGAAGTAGACTCTACGGTGGCTAACTGGAAGTAGTGGTGCTGGGATTAGTGATTACGAGAATAGTTCACACAGTTGACAGAGGTGCTCTTTAAACTAGATAAGACATCATTTTATTTCATTAAGCGGATATAGCATTGATTTATAAAACACTAGATCAGTAATAATCGCGCCAAAGTGTTGCCACTGCACATATGGCCACAGCTATATGCCTAGCTAACGTGAGTTCATTGTTCAATGTGACGCCGACAGAGTTGAGCCGCGACAAAAATGGGTAAATGCGTAGTGAAAGAATGCTATTCAAGGTCACAAAAACGTAATAAATCAAGCGGAATCACTTTCAACACATAATTTTTAGTTCTTGTTTTCATGTAAACGTAAAAAACCTCAAATAATTAAATAAAATTATCGAATATTGCCATTTAGGTTCAATGTTGCCACTTTTCCGCATTTGTGATTATACTACATTAATGGGAGAAACTATAATTAATGGAGTAAGTTAATTTGTTACCTCTGATTTTAAATATTTTGGAAATTATAATAAAAACTACGTTTTAACTTTCATACAAAATAATTAATTATTCCTATTTTAGTTTGTTCATGAATTATATAATAAAGAATATATTTTATTACCTATTTTATATTAATAAATTTATATTAATTATAATTTCATATAAATTTTATATTAATTATATTTTATTACCTATTTTATATTGTTTGATTTATTAGTACCATAAAAATACGTTTTATTTCATCATTATGTTTACTCATATTCATCTGATAAGCTTTGTATCCTTTTTTCTATGGGGACGTAATAAAGATTTTAAAATAAAATATACTTTTTTAATATAAAAACCATTAACTGCAGCTTAAAAAAAACTCATTTTTATTGCGTATTTTAGGTAAAATTTCATATAGTAAGCCACACCAACCCGCCATTGCATGTTTGTGTGTATCTTTATCTAATCTTAGCGACGATATTGTTTTCGCAACTTGTGTAAGTGAGATAGATATATGTTTACTTAAAATTGTTATTAGTTTCAAAGCTAGTCGTCGCGTTTGGATAGTGGTTACACTTTTTTCGACTCGCGGTAATGTGGTTTGCTCCTCCTAGTGTTGTATAACTCAATGGGATATAGGCAAGGTAATTTTTAACAACTTTAACTCATCATTCAACATTATCATTACAGCCCACCAAAAGTCCACAGGACCCTACCTATGAAGCCAGCATGGACCCTATATATGCCATAATAGCCACGCTTGGCAGGCGCTGAAACTAAATAACATTGAGTTGTTACAAGGAATATGCTACTGCCAATCTCCGGTTTCAGTTTCCTTTCGCCTCTAACGACATCCACAGGATGACGACATTGGGGTAGTGGATTCTCTTAAACTACTAAAAATAAACCTCATAACAACTCACATTTTCATACATGGTAGAGCCACGCTGCAGCTATATTATGGTTGTAGCACGAATGGGTCGGCTCGACCGGGGCAGGACAACCCTCTCACAGGATACCAACGTAAAATAGCAGCTTAATGCTGCTGTGTTTCGTATGGTGAGTGTACAGAACCGGAGACCCTTTTTTTACTGGCAGCTAGACATTTCATCTTAGTCCTCAGGGATGACAATGCATCTGCGTCTTGATTCTTAATCGGGGATAAATGTAGGTGTCTATGGGCCACAGCATCCACTTACCAACAGGTGGACTGTGTGCTCGTTGGTCACCCTTATCTATAAAAAACTCAATTACAATAATACAGCAGCAACCAACCCAACTGCCACTCTTGGGAAACATTCTATATTGTAATGTTTGATTTTTTTATATGAGGCCTGTGTTCAGCAGTGGACTTTTAAATAGAACATTATTGATCAAAGGCTGTAATGAATAAATAAAGTTCATATAATTATCATATGAGGGTTTGCTCACAGTTACATACTTTTAGTAACTCGATCCCAAAAAAAATGTTTCCAAATATGATTAGTCCTCACAAAGTAGGTAAGGTCTCAGCTCCACAAAGAAAAACAGACGGGTACATTTCAAGTTCAAGTGACGTAGGAACCATGCTCAACTTCTTAGTACGCACTAACGCACAAATCTTTCTTCTTTCTTTCCTTAAAAGCTCGTTAAAGACCATTTCTGTATGCATACATATTACATACGTGCCTGAAACCATGTTGTTAGTTGCAAATGATTTTAAAAGCACAGTAGCAGAAGTGTGCGTGAGTGTTTGTTCTTTCAATAAGTTGAGCAGAGTTTTGGCTTGGTTTCGACGACACTTAAAGTGTACGGTAGCACTTCGTCATTTTTTGTTGGTCTAAGCATAATGTAGACAAAACAAATATGCACAAAGTAAATTAAAGTTCTATTGACCGAGAACCATAAATAAACAAACGACGGGCGGGAGCGTGGCTATATTTTGTGTTCACCCACCGAGCTAACATGCATATCTTAACGACGATCGGTGCCTAATGGACCAGTTTCCGACATCGGCCCAGCGAGCATGCTAACGGTAAACAAATCCATACAGCCTAGGGATACCGATGCACCCAAGAATCTAAAAATCTATCGCGCATAATTGGCTAAGACATGCGTTTTAATTATGAAAATAGAATAGTTTTCTAAAATATATAAGGACTCCTTTCTAGGTGCTAGGACTCTTTTTATAAGTAGTAGAACCACTTTCTTAAGGGTAAGATTTTTTTTATAAGTAGTAGAATATGTACTTTTATAAGTAGTAGAACTCCATTCTAGAGGGTATGACTTTTTTATAAGTAGTAGAACTATGTACTTTTATAAGTAGTAGAATTCCTTTCATAAGTAGGACTCCTTTCTATGTGGGAGAACTCTTTTTCTAGACGGTGTAGGTTATGTGTGGTGGGATGGTGTAGGTTATGTGTGGTGGTGAATTGTATGTTGTGAATTGAATATATTGGATGTAGAAAAGTCTCCCACAGTGGTAGTACCATTGTATTTGCCTTGGAGTCCAACTGGGTAGGTACGGGTAAGTAGTTAGTTGGATGGATTATACTTGATCAAGAATATCATCCGTCTAAGGTCAAGAGGATTTCGATATTTTTGTTGTGATTACTAACAATACCTCATGTTTTATTAGGAGGAGGACTCTATTTTTTGTCAAGGAATCAGGTTTGGGGACGTACCGGACTCTTATCAATTTCTGTCGCCTGCGCTGAGAATACCTGTGCTTACACGGATGTGTTCCAGCCTGCAAGGTATAGCCAGCATTATAACAGGTTGAGGGATTCCTCTTAGTCCTTAGAGGTGACTCTACGCATCTGTAGCTTTCTGGTGAAGACTGCAATAGCCACTTGAAAACAGGTTGACCGTTAGTCCGTTTTTCATTTTAGCTATATTTAAAAAAATGAGTAATTACTATTTTTATTGTTTCGTATTTCATAATTAGTAAAAATAATAAAATAATGTTTACTATTACTACTATTACAACTACTACTTACTACTACTACTACTACTTACTACTATTAAATTATGTTTACTATAAAAGTTTTGTAGCATTAAACCCAAAAAATATCAAAAAAAAAGATGTCTGTGTTCGTCTTAGGTAAAAAAAAAAATTGTAGTTATCGTATCGCACACCACGAACGCGAAGCTACAGAAGTCAGGCTTTTTTTGTCGACCTGAAAAGGTGCTTGGCGGTCCACCGTGGTGCGATTTACTAGGAGTTTTTTTTCCTCGTCCGATTTCTTTGTGGACAACCGGCGATTTTCCCGAACTGATACGACTTAGGGACATTCAGGAAACGAGTTACCCCTTTCTGAAAAACGCACCTGCAATCCTCTGGTTTTCCAGTTTTTAATCAACACTTTCCATTAGGTGAGCCGCATGCTTGTTCGCCAGCACTTCTATAAAAAGGTCACATCACATCACTCTACTTGCTCTCATTTAATTCTTTAAATTAGTATACACCAGTCTTCAAATTTATTCACTACTATTTCTCGTTAATATTTTGTACAAAAGACAAGTTAGTAACAATAAGTACTTAACATTTTACAATAATAACGTATGCATATCAATTTCTTGATTTGTGACTGGGTCAGACATTTACCACTAAAAACCTACAATCCGACAGACACTTTCCTAGGATGATACAGTTCGCAATAGCGCTCTACTTGAAGCATTGTCCTGAGTTGAAAGTAGTTGGCAACACTCCAACGCACGTCGTGGTAAGACAGTCCTTTGAAAGTGTATCGACCACTCAAGAATACACGCAAATGTTGCTTTACCTTTCATGTTCAGAGTATAGTTGTTTAGTTATTCACCTTAAGACTATACTTGAGTTCGAATTATGAAATAGATGAATATTTAATTTACTTATTTCATCATCATCATTACGGACTTTCACAAGTCCACTGCTGAAAGTAGGCGTCCCTCAAGGAATACCACAATACCTGGCCCACTTGCATGTCTTTTCACGTCGTCACTCAATACAGTGGGGGCCATTCTATATTTCGTTTATCGGCACGAGCCTGCCACTCGAGAACCTTTTTTTTCCATCGTTTGTC